ATGCATGTTTTTGGAATGTGGGAGGAAACCGGAGTACCCGGAGAAAACCCACACGGGCACAGGGAGAACATGCAAACTCCACACAGGAAGGCTGGAGCTGAGATCGAACCTGCGACCTCTGCACTGTGAGGTTGATGCGCTAACCACTAGGTCACTGAGCCGACCTTGATTAAGTCGTACTTAGTTTAAATCAGAAACTTGTTACTAGGCAGTATTAAAAAAAATTATAATAATAATTAAGGTCTATTCCAGCTACGCCCATTCAGCTGTTCGAATGGCAAGTTAGGGGCACTGTTAACACACAAAAATCGTAGCATAACAACTCCGGCTTGTATTCTTTTTTCATCAAACTGACAAAAACGACATGATGTGTATTCTGATGCTCCCCCCGCCCCACTCCCTCTTAACCCAAAAACAAACACCTGATGCGGATTTAAGGATCAAGTGTGATTTTGAAGGATAGGTAAGACCTCCATTTTATGAAATAGATTTCAAGCTCTGATAAAGGATGAGCAGACACCCGGTGGTAAAAGGTTTCAGTTTCATTACTGAAACATGAAAGGAGACTGGGAATGATGCTTTGCAGCCACTGGTGTGCAGTAAACATCCAATTGATTAGCATTTACGAGTATTTATGTCTCTATAGGATGTATATGCACACAGGCACTCATCTCCCCGAGTCTACGCATTGGATCTGACGCAGGACAAGTAGGAGTATAAACTCAATGGGTCCATGAGGAACCATCATGTTTTCTTCTCTCAAAAGCAGATGGAACCCGGCATTAAAAGGCAGCGTTGAAGGAAACGCCTTGAGATCAAATAGCATGCTGCCTTTTCGCAAGCAACGTGCCACTGCACAGAAATCCCCAAAGTCGAAATGCATCGGGGGAAAACGGGAAGGATGGAAAATGTCTTCCCCATGCTGGCATATGTTGTGTTTAAAAACCCAGACTGAGCAGATGGATTGAAGCGCCCCGAGGATTAAAAAAAAAAAAAAAATGAAACCCTCGACATTAAAAGCTACTTTCATTAGCATGCTAATGAACAACTAAAGGAGTTTGTTTTGGTTTTTTTGCTTTACAGTGAACAGTGTGTACATAGCGTGTTTATGTTCCAACTCAGCTTTATTTGGTGAAGCTATCATCGTGAATGCTTAAAAGACTGAAGGTCAGTGTTTCATAAATTAACTACACTTACTGAAGTCGACAAATAAACCGTCCTTCATATAAATTCATGGTTTATTTCCCTTTATTTTCGCATAAGTCTAGTCTGTAAAACCAATACCTTTGTGTATATTAAATCTGATATTGTTTAATTGTGCTACAAACTAATTTCTTGCTTGTGTTTGTTGAAATTAAAAAGAGGGGAATGGGGTCTTAAAAAACACTAATATATTAAATGAGGATATTAAAATGCAATTGCAATATCAAGGAAAAAAATGCGATGAAATTATTTTGAGTGAAGAAGTTTAAGTTTCCGTGCGCTTTTTTGTACTCCACATGCATGAATAATGCAATGTTTTTCGTTTTAATACATTTTTCAAGTGGAAATTATTTAAATAATAAGTTAAGATGCACTTTATTTTATCAGCATTATTCACAACTGTAATGGGGTTTTTTTTTTTTTGTTTCAAATTTTTTCTCACCAAAAAATGTGACGTGACATGCCACATATGTTTACATGGCGATATTGCAAAATTGTCCAAATGTACTCCTATTTGGCTAATTTTACTTCTGACTGAATCAACATTGGAGCATTAAAATCAGAATCAGAATCGTCGCCATAGGTGCACTTTTTTCCCCCAAATCATCTCATCTTTAAGCCATTTCTTTTTAAAGATAATTTTGTACAATGAGTTTAGATTTATAAAAAAAAAAGGAAATTTGTGATCACGGTTTGTGGTATGATTTCAGCTGAAACTTAATATAGGAAATTGTAAACATTACATAATTTCCTTTTTTTTTTTTTTTTTTTAAAAGCTATTTTCAGCAAGACTCGGTCACTAGCCCGACTGACTATAATTCCACTTATTACCTGAGGCCTCTGAGTTCAGTGTCTTAAGTGGATGACACTCCCATTTAAGGGCCAGGCACTATTCAAGAAAATAGGGTCATTTTAATTTGACCGTGGCGGAACTTAATCATGTCCTCTGTTGTTTGACACCAAGCACTGAAAACCATTAAGATGCTACGACTTCCTCTATAGATAACAGATACAGTACGTGAGCGCTCGCACTCTTAAAATTCCAACACAATCTGTAAAATTCCAGAGCGCAATTTATGATGGCCGTCTTTTATTTATGCGTGCAGGTAGGAGGAGGACAAACTCCACTCTAAGTGCTAATTCATCAGCAGAGTCATTAAAGCTAACGACTGCAGCACAGCCACATCAGCATCTTAATGGCCTTGCACTACTGCGAGTGAACCCGCTCAAATGTATTGTTTACACATGAAGCAAAACACCCAGCAGATAATTAATTTTTACACAGACACTCCACCTTCAACAATTACTCTTCTTTTGGGTCACATTATAATGCTCGAGAAAGGAATGTTATTTCCCCAGCACTATCAATGGGCTCGCATATCTACTTGCGGATAGGCAGATTGAACACAAAAACAACAACAACAACAACAACAACAAAACTTATGAGCTCAATAATCAAATTCAGACATGTCAAATTTCAGCAAAATGAATACCTGCGCCGAAAAGTGAAAACTCAATGTCTGCTTTTACGTTGCTCACATGGCTTCATGAGAGCTACGGGGTGCACAAAGGTGCCGAGAAATAACTCAGCTATAGTTACCCAATGGAAGACTTTACACTGTATAATGATTCTCTCTCTCTCTCTCCCCCCTCTCCCTTTCTGTCTCTCTCTCTCTCTCTCTCTCTCTCTATATATACACACACACACACACACACACACACACACACACACACACACACACACACACACACACACACACATCCA